TGTAATGTTGCTGCTGTGTTTCTGCTGCTGCGTGATGGCTCTCTCCAAAAAGATCCAGCAAAAAGATCTATTTAAAAGCCCATCACGGCTGGCCCAAAAATAGGGTTGGAAAATTAGGTTTAGGAAAAGGCCCATTAATGACTCTGCTGGGAGCAGGTGCTCCGTCTTTTGTACTAGGTGCTCCCTTTCTCCAGAATGTTCAAAAAGGGGTCCAACTTCATTCCTTTCTAGCCAAATCCGATTGCAAGTCCCATTCATTGCTTCCAGCCACTTTTTGTACCTAGAATGACTCGATAGAGAGTGAAAGACTCGATAAAAGCCTACAAAAYAAGGGTTAGAATGCGCCAAAAACGCATTATATCACGAGGCATCTTTACAAATACGAAACACAGAGAAAGATGAGCTATCAAGCACGATTGCATCGATGAAGAAAGAATCAGAGTCTTTGGCAGAGGAATTGCAACGTATCAAAGATGAAAAAGCAGCAGTCATTAACCTTTTAAAGTCAGAACTAGAAACCGCAAGAGTGCACAATGTGATGATCTAACGTGTTCTTTAGCCAAAAATGGTACAGAGATTGAGAGTCATAGCAAGAAAGTTGTACAAGTGAAAAGCGAGCTTAAAAAGAAGAGGAAGAAATGGCAAATCTAGAGAACAGAGGAGCAGAAACAGAGCAAAGAAGTACCGAAGAAAGAATAAATCTGCTTGAGGTATGCGTCTGACTAACACTAGAACATTCACAATTCAACTAACTAATTTGTCGTTGATGCCAATTTTTTTTTGTAATCCAGGAACAATTCAAACTAAAGGAAAATGCATTTGAAGCCTCTTCGAAGATGTCCAACGAAAAGGAAAAAGATTTGAAGAACAGAATTGACGATTGCAGAGTAAACTCAATGATCTTTGTAAATGTAGCCAAGAGGTAAAAAAAAAAAGAGAATCAAATTGCATTCCTACAACTTTAAAATCATTATTAGATCATAACTCTGGTTTTAGAAACAGACCGGTGAACCTCTGCACAGTTTATAAGCAATAGAAGTACCGATGATTTCTGATCATTTTTTTGTTTGTATGTTTATAGCGACTATCTTCAAGATTTGGTTAATGAAGTAGCGTCCCTGAGAGAGCAAAATGGATTGATGGAGATGGAATTGAAATAGATGCAAGAGAGATAAGTCTAAGATTTGCAGAAGTTGAAGGTGAGAGACAACAACTTGTCATGACTGTACGTAATCTCAACAATGCCAAGAGGAGTTAAAAAAAAAAAATCAAATATTCTCATAACTAGATAAAATTACAAGATTGTATAAATTTCTCTCATTTTCAATATATAATCTTACTTTTTTACAAATACTGTATATATAGATAGTTTCTCTTTTTTTTTTTTGTTTTCTTAATATAATTAATCTCTTACCATGCATATATGGGGATAGGCTCCCATAATAAAAGTTAGTTTATATGGTTGGTAATTATAGCTCACTTTATTGTAGGAAATACTAGTAATTGATTTTAAGCATAAAAGAGCATTTTTACTCTTTGAATGCTTGTATGCATGGGTGTATAGAAACTAAATCATTATTATTGACAATGCTATTGTTAATACTCGAGCTCGACATGTATGTGACTTGCATGAGGTTTCAAGTAGTACTCTCTTCTCATCTCAAATACTCATTTCTTGTACCCACCAAATTAAACCCTTTGCAATTAATCAAAACATAACATACTAGAATATTCAGAAAGCTAAAACACATGGAAATAAACAAGAATTCAATAAGCCCCTTGACCTTAATTGAAACTAAGAAAAGAAAAAAGAAGTGTTTAGTTTTGCTGCAAACCATTATTGAAAAACGAAAAGACTAAGTGGAAATCAGTCTTGTTCATACAAATTCCGATCTCAGCGCCACCTGATTGGTCACGTGTCTCGGCCATTGCAATTCCTTCTCCTCTAATGGACACAAAATCAACCTTAACGGGTCTTCCCCACCCGAAATCCGACTCGTATACTCCAAACTTATTCGACATTGCTACTGTCCCAACCTGTGAGCTCTCACCTATGGAATCGAACCCAATCGCGTATCCTTGTGCGATCGTCTCTATCATCATCCCTGGTGATGGTGAACTCAAGCTTTTCACCAGATCGCTGATTATCTCAACCGCCGTTACGAATCCTTTCTCTCCGTCGGCGAAATCCGCCGCTTTCCGTTTGTAACAACCCACCGAATATAAGCAGTTTCCGAAGTAATTCGCCGGAAGCGGCGGATCTAACCGGTTTCTGAAATCTGCTCCGACAAGTAAACTCACTAATCGCTCTCCGTTTCCTCCACGCGCCTTCACGAAGCAGATCCACGCGTATGCGTATGCGATTACGAAAGCCGACAAGTGAAGATCATCATCTCGGCTCCTCCTCCTGCATCGTTCACGGAGTCTCTCGACGTCATCGCCAGACAGTACGAGCGTGGCGAGGACGACGTCGTCGTCTCCGATTTCTCCGGCGATATTCCGATTAAGGCTTCTGGATTTGTCTTCTCTGTGAGATCTAACAATCTCGATCATTTGTTCATCGATTCCGGCGGTTACATCATTGAGCAACGACGAGCGATCAAGAGACGGAGGAGGTAGAGAGAAGATGTTTGTGTTGTTTTCGATGTGTTGTTGTTTGCATGAGTGAGCCCAATCTTTGATGAACATGCTTGCCGTTTTTCCGTCTAAAACGGCGTGGTGTGCAGCGAAGCCAATGGAGAAGCCTTGGTTCGGGAACAAGGTGATTTGCAGAGAGAAAACGGCTGCTGAGTCATCGGAAAACGGTAACTTGGGTGTCAAACTGTGTAACTCGGAGGCTGGACGTTGTCCGTAGCCGGAAAGATGAGAGAAATCAGAGTCAGTCTCGGCGATTGTCACTAAAACGGCGTCGTTTTGGGAGACGACGATGCTCGGTTTGAGCTCATTTGGGTTCCAGATGATGCAACCGGAGAGAGGGAGGTAGCTGCTGAGGACAAGCGAAAGAGAGGATTTGAGTTTAGGGAGGATAAAAGAGTGGAAATGCTCACGAGTCGACGCGGTGTGTCTGTAGAAGAAGACTTGTTTGAATGGATGGACCAGTAGCCACGGTAGATCGAAAAACGTCAACGGGATTGCAACAGAGTCCGAGCCCGTGTATGGGATGATTTGGGCAACCTCAAGGACGAGTAGCGTCATTGGTCAAACAAAATCTATTGCCAAAAAACCTTTTGGTTGAGTTTGGAAACGTTATGTGCAAATGTATGTATATTTATGGTATTGACATTGACAGGTTCAACAAAGCCGGTGACCATCTAATGGCAGCTGACACCAATCTTAAGGTGTGCTGAGTGTTCAAATTCCTATACGGGGGGCTTCAAAGTTTTGACCAGTTTTGTTAATCTTAAGTCTAATTTCTGATTCTACATATTTACATTTAATTTTACAAAGTTTCATAGTTCTACTTTTGTAGGCTATAATTCTTTGTTCACAAAGCTCCCTGCAGGTTATGACGCTTAGCTAATCCAAATTAATTCAAATAATTTTAACAACACTTTTGGTTAGTATAGTACCGTTAGAACAGTAATTTGATTGTCAATCAAGCAAAAGCAGTAAACATAAGTTTAAATATGAATTATAAGATGAATCCTAGAAGTTCGAGGGTTTTTTTTTTACAATTTTATTAGATTTAGAGACAAACGATTTGATTTATCTAGTAGTTTATCATCTGTGTGTGAAAAACAACAAATTCTTTTTAAATACATAATTATAATTGACTTCAAATTAATTAGTTTTTTTTTTCTTTTTCTTATTTATATCCCCTGAACATGAAAATATGAAGTGGTTCTCAACCATTACAATATTGATGGTCATCGTTTGAAAAAAACATGTTTGTTTAAAAGTTTGTTAACTACACATATTTGACAATTGAATAAATAATATAATGTGCATTTAGCTATGATCGTGTTGTTCAACACGGATAATTAATTCTTGGGTTGTTCTGCATACACACAAACCAAATTATAGGGTTAAAATATTTAGGATATATGGTTTGCAATACTTCTTAAATTATGTCAAAATGAAAATTCTACCTAATGATAGCATATTAGAAAGAAAGAAAAAACACACATCAATATATAAAATCACAATGAGAAATCTCTGGAAAGATATGTTGATTGTAATTCGTACTAATGGAATCACATCCCACATGACCTGTAATGAAAATGCCCGAAATCGATGGAGAATTGTTGTAATGCTTAGCTAACAGATTCTGAAAATTCTTATTTAGCCTTATTTAATAATTTATAGTTATCACTAAGACAAGATGATATTAACTTATGATAGCCATCATAATATTTCATTTTGTTGAGTTAATCTCTATATTAAAATACGATAAATTAAAATACATATTTATCTTTTGACGCAATATCTTGACTCTATGTACAATCCAAAGTGTTAAACGTTTTAATAAAAGCTCATCTCAGAAAGAAAACCCTAAGTCTATTCTTTTCACATAACATTAATATAATAATCTTATTGTCTCACTTCTTCTCGTTTGTCTGAGTCACCTCTTGTTCTTCGAGGAGGTAAAGAAGAATTCTTCTTTGTTCTTCTTGAACCTGAATTCATTGATGTTGAAGCATGTTAGTTTTTTCTTTTATAATATGTTTATGTAATTATGTGTTTATCATTTTTTTATTATAACTTTTTGATTTTAGTTTTTTTAGTGGTTGGTGACATTTTAGCCACTTCAGAATTAAGATGGCATAGACCCGAGGAACTAAAGATTTTGTTCGAAAATGCTTCATTGTTTGAAGTTAAGAAAAGGAATCAAATCTCTCAGAAAACTCTTAGAAGTTTCCGTGTCGATAAAAGCCCATTCATAGATAACAACGTTTGGTGAAAGATTGCACTGGTTGGTAGTACAACCACCAAAAAAATTGTAAATGTTAATTAGTTCTTTTTTTTTTTAATGATTTGTAATTGTTTTAGCACATAAATTAATTTTCAACTGAAAGATATAAGTTATTAGAACCAAACAATTTTGATAGTAAAATTTGGAACTTTTTAGGTCTTGGCTAACCGATTGAAAAGTAAAATATAAGTCATTAGAACCAAACAATTTTGGCACTAGGCGTTGGGTCACCGTCCGCTTAGCGCCTAGCGCTTTCTTGAATATTGCATAAAATGCAATCACACACAATAGCAAAATATTTTAAAAATGACTAACATCAATAAATCTTATTGTTACATGAACCATCACAAAAAGATGAAAACCATCAATTTATTCGGTTGCTTTACAATCACGAAAACAAAAGAAAAAAGAGTTCATTGTTCTATAAAAAGATGTTTTTATGCCAAAAAAAGAAAAAAATTATAGAATTTTTTTTTATTACTCAATGTCTTTTTGTTTTGTACGATATATTGAAACGGTGTAGAAAACATAGATATTCTATAGGAAGAAATAGACGCGGAGACTCATTCTATATATAGTTTCTAGTAAAATTGACCTA